GTAGCTCTTTAGACTTAAATGAAATATACCTATTCTATAAATAATTAGCAACACTCAGTGTCCAGCTCACATGTTTTCTCATCTGTTTGACCAGTGGAAAAATATAAATTGCATATTTCCAACAATCACACGAGGGGATACAGTTTAACACATGACCTACGAATAGTGTCTTCAACTTAGCCTAGTTATCGAAGGTACGAATACGACCAAAATAGATTGAACGTTTAATTTAATTTTATTCATGCATTTCCGTTTTTCTTTTTTTTAATGAATCGTGAACAGAAAAGAACTATGTACCAATCGCCGATGTTATAAACAATAAATTAACATTTTAAAAAACAATTGCAACCTATGTACAGAAGTGTTAATTAATTATAAACAGTCAGTAGTTGTTATCGTGCGATTAGACACGACAAATTGACGTCCATCTCCTAATGTTCGTTCGACAGTAGTGAGAGAGAACTGAACGTCCGAACTGTTTTTAGTACCTAATGTCTCCCGACAACCTTATCTACCCTGTAATGCATTAGACTTGAACTGCGACAATAGCTAACACAATTTGCCGGTAATTACGACGATTGTCTTAACGGATCGAAACGCGTTTACGTGCGAACACTCACTTTGCGTTTTCACAAGTTCCTCCTCGAGATCGCAGTTATTGTTGTCTGGATGTTCTGTCCGGTTCCGGTTGGGTTGCCGACAATCGTGGGGTGTAATCGGGGGATTATTGTTATGCGATCATTCAGAGACAGCGTCGAAAAAAACGAAAAAGAACGAGGAGGCAAAAATAGCACGACCGAACGAAGAACTGTTAACCCTGACGGAAAGTACGAAACGACTAACGAGTAAACGGAGTAAAAAAAAAAAAACGTATACCGAACAGGGGAGAATTAATAATATAATAATAATAATAATACGAACAGAAAAGTACACGGCGACGCAACGCACCGAACGCTCCTCTCGCTCCCACACCGCCAACTATATTATGGTATTGCATTTATTATTATTATTATTATTATTATTATTATTGTGCGAGTCTAGGGTCTGCGCGCGCACCACACGGCAACTGGGCGAGGTGAACAATAATAATAGAAAAAAGTTGGGATCGTGATATTGTTATTTCAATGTTAATCGCCGTGGTTAGGACGCAAGCGCGCGGCAGAACAGGTGAAACGCTGCGGGCCGACCGTTCCCATTGGTCCAGTGCACCCATGTTTTTATTATCTGTTGGTGGACCCGACTACCGGAGCTCGGCACGTTTAACTCATATCTAACTATAATATTATACTCATATCATAGACTAACTCGGTATCACGGTTGAAGATGTACATCCGTGCTCATCCCATTGAACAATATGATAATAGAATAATTATAAGTATATGGACCATATTATAATTTATAATAATATATGGTCGAAGGATAAAATAATAAAATTATCATCAAGAACTACCACAGAGTAGTAGCTGTAAGCTGTGGTAGAAAAATGGGGTAGATTCATGATAATCATTTATTTATCATCGTCGTCGTAGATTCCATGATAAAGTCGTTATTCAAGGTCGGATTCAAATTTCGTAATAACCGCTATTTTGTTGGCGGTCATTTTAAATTTTTTTTCGAAACACCAAATTTGAAGAATTAATTATTATTCTAATCGATTAAATACTAAAAATTAAAATAGTGATTTCAGCTTAATATGGAGTGGATCTAGGGAAGGCCTTAGACCCTTAGTAACTTATTTAGTTCCCCAAAATGTTTATAAGTAATAAGTTATAACATTTAACAAATAAAATTCCAGAAATAAGATTTTGAATAACTGCACTATTGAAAAAAAGAGGGTGAATTTCATATTTTTGATGAAAATATGTTATTTTCAACTTCGTTATATTCTCACCAACTGCAACCACAGATGCTGTAAAATAAACATGATATTGTAGTTAACACTTACGACTTACTTAGTTGGCATATTTAAAATATTGACGATGTCTTGCGTTATGGGGTCAAATATTGGAGTGAATTAATGCCTTTAAATATTGAAAGGAATTAACCAAGTCTCAAAAGTTTAAGGGTAACTGTGACTACTTGAGTATTTGCTTTTGACTGATAGTAAAAAGTGTAGTAGTTGGACTGGTTGTTAGTGTCTTGATGAAATGTCTAATTTTGAGGAAATATAAAACTGTGTTTGTTAATTTATAGACCCTGATACTATAGACATTTAAAAATAAAATCGATATTACTCCCAAATCCATCCATGATATTGAAAAATCATCTATAATAGAAGGTATACTTATTTAAATCATTTTAATTTTTCAATTACGTTTTAGCAATTGTGTTTCATATTCTAATTGAATTTGTTCGACCCCTTCTAGAAAAATATAAAATAAAGCCACTAAGGTAGGTACCATAATTATTTAGCTCCTTCACGTCTTTTTGCTTTAAAATTAGGCTATTTTTGTCCCAGACATGTATCAAGTTATGTAAGATGAAAATTTATTGAATCGAAATAAAAAGTTAAGAGGAAAAGCAATCTGTTTTTTTTTTTGTTTAATTATATGGGCTGGTCAAAAGTTTGCCCACTCCTTTTAAAAACTGAAATTACGCCTCTAAGGCGTTAGGCGATTGCCACCATCGGCACTCTCAAAACCACCAATGGATAATAATAGGTAATAACTAATAAGTGAAAGAAATATTCTTGATATTAAATTTTTTGGAACTAATAAGCCACTCAGCAGGTGGTAAATTTAAAATTACATAATATTTTTTAATTAGTATGTGCTTTTGTAAGGAGAGTGGAAAAAATCCCTGACTAGTGAGTAGTAACTATAAAAACCATAATACTATTATATGTTAACAGTCTGTATGCAAATACATAAAAACATAATGCAATAGTACACAATGTCATATTCACATTTCACATATTATACCTCTAAATTGCATGGTCATCTACATAAATCAAATGAACTGGGAAAACCTTACATTAAAATAAAACTAACTTTTCATAATATTAATATAAAAGTTAAAAATATTAGAACATTATTAACAACAATAATTGTTAAAAAATATTAAGAAGAACTTTTATTTAAAATATATTTAAACATCTTACAATAATTTTTTAATTAGTTTAAAATAACACAAATAACAGGAAAAACTTAACTATAGCCTATAGGTAGTATTCAACAAAAATTGAACCACAGGTAGAACTTAGTAAAATAAATTAAAAATAATTTAACGTTAATCATACTATATATAATTAATATAAACCAAAAATTAATTTTATTCCATACATGACAAAAAGAACAAATACCAATAAGTACATTAAAATTATAATTATATTATAATTGTTGTTAAGTCAAGGGTTTAAAAGCTAAGACTATACATTTATCTATATAATTATAATATTTAATTTTAGTTACTGAAAATGTGTAAGTTACAATGAAATAAAACTAAGTATTTTAAATTAAAAACCAGTAAATTATTTAATTGCTGATTTTATATAAGAAAGACTAAAAATGTATCTTATTAAAAAATATGATAATGTAATATCCGGGGGCGTACCGAAGAGGATTTTATTGGGGGGCCAAAGTCAGTAGTTTGACAAACTCTAAAAATGTATCTGGGACAATTTGTTTTTGTTATCTTATTGAAGCCATTTCATTGTTGATCTGTTAAAATGTTTTAATTATATAAGTAAATAACAAATTCAAGTTGTATTACTACCTAATTATGAAAAAAATACTCATTAACATTAATTAGATATAAAAAAAAGGTGGACAAGTGGATACTGGTCTGCTGTACAGTGGGTATAGTAGGTAGGGTTGATTATTTGACCCCCCTTCCAACCTAGGTTCGCCCATGTCAATATCTACATAACTACATGTATATTATAATTCTTGTGTAATTTAACGAACTAATATTAATAATTATTATAATTATTTTAAAATATTGTGTACCTATTTTAATTATTAAAAAGGTAAAGTTTAGTGAGTGTTGATTAATGTATATAACAACTAAAAACTTACAAGTATATCAAACAACTTAATTATTAATTCACAAAATAATTTAATAGGTTTTAGACATTGTTGTGCTTAATTGTATAGTTGTATATTTTCTTATTAAATAAAAAAAAAAAAAAAAAAGGTTTTAGACATGATTACCCAAAGTATAATTATGGTATCATTTTAGTTAACTAAATATTAATTTTTTGCATGAAAATTGAGAATTTTTTTTTATCAAAAAAATAGTATATGACAGGAGGAGGCAAACTTAAAGCACATATTTTTATTTCATTGTTAACTCTTGTGTTCAATGTAAAATAGTCTAAACAATTCTTTATAATTACCCTTTTTTGCCCCATATGATAGAAGTTACACCACCAGTGGCATAGCAGGATGGGTGTTCACCACCCCACTCCCTCAATGATATTTTTTTCCCATAGTAATGTATTATTAGAACAAATCTAGTTTAAGGCCCAGCTCGTTTGTTAATTTTCTTATCGAAACTTAGTAACTCATCGAGTTAAGAACGTGGTGCAATCAGAATTTGTCGCTCTCACTTAGTTTCGAAGTTATGGTCTTCCAAAATTTTTGATTTTACGTTTATACGCATACACGCAACACTACTGTACTAACGCGCGGAGTCATACTATTCAAATTTAGTGAAAACTGTGAAAAATCCTGGTTTAATTTATACTTAATCCCCCCCCCCCCCCCATTTCATAATGCTGGCTACGCCACTGTACTTATTTTAAATACCTAAATACTTTTGTAATATAATTTATATAAATATGAACAAAGAACAAAAATACTGGAACTAAACATTTCAACGATAAGCACTTACTACCACCCTACAACTATCAAAAAAGCGTTGAAACTTCAAATAGAATTTTTTTTAATAAATACATTGATATTGTTGAACTAATATGACAAACATCAACAAGGAATTTATAACCTTATGTTTAACCGTATTTTATATTCTATGAGATTGAATTCTTACCAAAAATATGTTTACTTAACCATATAGAGGCTTAACAATATTACTACTGATATTTCCGTGTTACCATAAACAGCTGACACTGAAGGATATAATTTAGTTTTAGGTAAATTTTTAAAAGCTATACCCAAAAATTCATTGCATTTTTCAAAGTGCAAAATCCCATTTTCAGAATCTAGTATTAATTGTAATTTTTCACCGATTTGATATTTAGGAGCATTGTTTAACAACGGGTAGTTTCCATGTGATACTCCATTGTGTAACAAAAGTTTATCGATTAAGTTCCAGCCCCACCTATGCTTGTCAATACCCAACAGAGGTAAGTAACCACTACAATGCACTGGAGCCTCTTTTGTTGACACTCCAACCATTGCGACTGTACCTATAAAAAAAATAATTGATATTTGCAATAATTTATAATTTATAATTTGCAATACCTAATATTTAACGAATTTAATATGTTTTTACCTAGTGGTCCAGTCCATGTAATTTCCCATACGTGTTTACCACTGTTATAACCAATTTTAGTTCTTGCCATATCTGTACTTTGGGCGACTGGATTGCGATGTAATGTGAAACCATTTTGTTTGACAACAATGTGCATGGAACAATCGTCTGGATTCCATGAATGATATAAAGCACGTAACTTAGCCTTATGGTTGTGGAGTTGTGACAGAAGTTCAGACTTAAGTAGCTCTTTGGGTATCTTACGGCGACACATCAATTTCCATGGTTCTGCCCTTCCATCATTAATAACTCTATACCAATTTTGACAAACCAACATGCAGCTAAACAAGTCGGGCAGTTCCAAGTTTGAAAATATTATATCCAACACTAGGTCGGGTAAGTATTGTGGTGCGTGACAAACGTCCATCATAAATGTTTTCAAATGTAAATCATGAAAACATGGATGCAATTTTTCCAAGTTATACAACTATTTAGTGGGATTAATGTATATACTATACACAAAAGTATATTTTGACGTATATTGTTATAACTATCAAAGAATGGTAGAGTCAAAGAATGTAAAACACTAAAACGTATTACTCTGATTGACAAAATTAATTAATTTTTTCATGTTATTCTGTATTTTTTTGTATTGTTTAAATTTATAACACTTCACAATTTGTACAATAAAATGAATTGACAATACTGATAACTACAAATTTAAAATTTGATACTGTTATCAAATTTTTATCACGAGCATGATTTTTTATTGTTTTTAATAATTACATGATCATAGGGTAATATCACAGACCATATAGTCTGTGGTAATATCATTATTGTTCTGTGATATCATAGAACAATATAATATTATAATTATTCGTGATTCTGTGTTTACAGTAAAGTTGAGTATATAGTTTGTCTATGCTTATGAACGCTAACACTGAATGCCTCAAATTATTATACTAAATAATACAATTAACAGTTTTCTTGTCTAGACATTAAATATATTTCATTCAGTTTTTCATTTAAAACGGTTCCAGATTCGTGCATGACTGAAGACATGACAGTGATCGCTGCGAATTCTAGACAAATTTGGTGATTGAATAAATTTAATGTTAATTACACTATTTCGTCCTGTCGACTTTTGCTCCGATTGAGAGTACAAATTTCAGTGACCAAATTGTTTGAAATGCTTTCCACAAACTTGTATAACAACATCGAACTAGCCAGAAAACGTGAACAACAAATTGATACGTTAAAAGTTTTTAATGAAAAGTAAGCATTCGTGGTGATTCCAAAATATCAGCTGCTTGTAATATCCACTAATCCTATAACGTAAATGTAAATTAGTGTTACAGAAATTAGTTTCGATAAAGAATACTCTGTTGAATTTCCTACAAAAGCTGGGAATTTGAGCTTGATCATTGAATTGGGCTCAAGATTTCCTTTCGAGAAGCCCACTATGAAAATATGTCCTCGAATTACCCATAAATGGGTGGACACTACCGGTGAAATTGTTCTGGCTCCAGGATTGATGAATGTAAGAATTGAACATCAGTTATCCCATTCGGACATTAATTTTCTATTTTGGTATTTTTACAGTACACTATTCACTCTGACTTAGGAAGAGTAGTACAGGTGATAAGAAGAGAGTTTGAATTAGACCAATCACTTACACTGGCAAATGGTGGTAATAATAATGGGTAATTTATATTCAACTAAATCCAAACTAAACTAAAATTGTACTCATAGATATCTTAAAGTTTTTCAGGGAATATCGCCATTGGTTCTGCCAAAAATGCAATCACCTCCCTCAGTAATGTAAGTTCAAACATATTTTATCAACAACTTTTAATAATTTAAACTTTGTTTTCCTTTAGGATGTAGAATTTTTTAGTCTTGCAAAATTAACGCCAGCTGAATTACTACGTTTAAATAATAATGTTGATTGCCTAGATGAATTTATTTCAGAATTACCATCAATAGAAGCATCTAATAAAAACATTGAAAATACTATCACAAAAATAATGGACTTAGCAAGTAAAAACACTCATATACCTATTTGATATTTATGATTTTGAAAAAAAAATATTGGGTATTTAATATTTCAGACTCAAACATGTCTAAGGAAGAACCAATACATAATTTAAGATTAGAAATATCAAAACAATTAGAAACAATAGAAACTTATCAAAAATCATATGCTGGACTCTCGACAAAGTATGTTAAGTTATCAGAGAAATATTCTCCACAATCAATTTCGGTAACGCATCAAATACCTATGTATAAGTATGATAAATGGCAATTTTTCAACAAACGTATAGTAATAATAACCATTCCAGGATAATTTAAAAAAAGCTGCGTTGAAATGTGATGAGGAAAGTGAACGAATAGCAGAACAGTTTTTAAATGGCGATTTAGATTGTGATAAATTTCTACAAGTGTATGTAAAATCAAGAACAGTAAGTTTAAACACTAGTTTTTTAAAAAATTTTCGGAAGATCATTTATTAATTTCAATTTTATTTAATTCAGGTGTCTTATACAAGGAAGGCAAAAGAAGACAGACTGAACTATCAGTTAAAGCAATTGAAAGAGGCTGGGTTTTAAATATAGTTATTTTTATAACTGAAAAATGTTATCAATTTTATTATGTTTGGGTGCATTTGGTGCAATATCAAAATTGGTTAACCCAATTTTGTCAATGCTTTATCGTGTGTATACCATTCCGTGTTATGCTGAAGCCTTTAAAAAGCTTAATACTCATGAAATGATTATGTGATTTAATCTGTCTTTTAAAAGACTTGTCCAATTGATTTTTCTATTAATATATTATTTTAATTTATATACTACTGTTTAATATTCTGACCCATACCCAGTAGCGCGTATCACCTAATTTATCTTACATAGTATATTTTTAGATTGAGGGAGGGGCATTGTAGGGTACTGCAGGGGATGCCATAAAAATAAATGATTAAACATTCCATTCCTTTTTTGTAGGTGCTTGTGAAATTAAAAAAGCAGGATTATGGAGGACCTAATTACTTGATTGTACGATGTCATAGTATATTTTAAACATTTAGGGCCGATTTCACCAACAGAGTTAATCTCGGTTCAAGTTAACCGGAGTTTTAATCAGCTGAATTTGGACGGTTAAGGGTTAACCATGATTAACTGTGTTGGTGAAATCGACCCTTAGGTACTCCATTGCCTAACCTTATTGTACAAAAAAAATTTCAACATTCTCAAATTATATAATTTCATAAAATATTTAACTTCCAGATAAGAATTAAGAACCCATGGTCGTATTATTACTGTGATTTAAGTGGTCATATCAATTATCAGGTCTAAATTATTAAAACTGCAATATTACTAATCGATTAGCTCATAATATGGCTGATATATAATGCATTATGATTACACAGAAAAAATTGTACATGCTTCTAACGGGTGTAACTTTAGATAATAACTATTAGTGACCATGAGGAAAGGTTACACTGAACTAAATACATATCTGTAAATGAATTCAGTTTGGTGAGAGGTTACTATTTTTTTTTAAACTTCTGATTAAATGGAAAAATGGTAATATATCAAACTGCATCATGAATAATAATAGAATATTTAATGTGTGCCAAGTATTTTTATCTATATTTAACACTCATAACAATCAAGACTAAAACACTTAACATCACTAAAAAACAGATTTTTGTTATTTAATAAATCATAAAAAATCATAAATATGATAACACAAGAAAAATACAATTCAGAACATACATAGTAACTTTATTAAGACATTAACATTAAACAAACATATTTTTACAGTAGTGATATAGCACTCTAACATTTCGTATTCTAATAATACACGTGATTGAGGTATTTTTAAATTGGAATGAAATAAGCGTCTAGTGTAAATGTAAAACAAAACTAAAAGCACTGTAATTTGACGTCAAATGCTCCTCAAAGATTAATAGGTGTAGATAATTTACATTTAGTTTAAGTAAGACTGACAGGGTTCTGAATTGATTAAATAGTTGAACTAACAACCGTTTATTCACTCTTTGCCTTCGGTGGTGTTGGTGGAAGTGGTCGAGGAATGTTCAAAGTGACTTTCACAGAATCATAGATAAACCATTGTAAAGCCGTCAAGGTACCGATCATGATAATTCTTGGGCCTAAACCTTTCCACAAACCACCAAAACCAATTTTCTTCAACACATCAACGGAAGAGGCACCTTTTTCTTGGTTCAATTTTGATACCAATGTATCAGCTGGATGAGATACAATGGCACAGAAAACTCCTGCAATATAACCAGCAGCAAACGTTACAATCAATTGTTCTCCTTTACTGCAATCGGCCCTTGGCTTGGGTACAACATGAGCATAAATTAATTCAACTGTTCTTTCAAAACAGGCAAACTTCATCATGGTATAAGGAATTTGTCTCATCCATAAAGGTACTAAGCTCTTGAAGAAAGCAGATGCGCCTTCTTGTTTTAACATTTTGGGAACCGCTTCACGCATGGTATTTGCAAAACCAGGTGTAGTTTGGATTTTGACTTTGATTGATTCAAGAGGAACAAGACCAATGTCAGCAAAAAGTTCAGCAGATGCAGAGGCAGCGAGGTAGAGAGATGTACGCCAGTAATACGCATTTTCTTCTCCCAACAAGTCTGCATACAAAATTTTGAAATATTCGTACAAACCGAATTTACCAAGTCCTTGAATGGAATAACCCATGGCAGTCGGAGCCCAGCCCTTAGCCAATCCTCTAGCGCCTTCGTCGGCCATTGTCACTTTAAAACCATTGATGAGGTTCTTGTATTTGGCAGGGTCCACCTGAAGACGACATTTTACCAAATCTAGGGGAGTGACCAATGTATGTGTAAGACCACATGAGACAATACCGCCGAGCCCGCACAGGGCAAAGTATTTAGGTGACCCAAACTCGCAGCTATCTTCATTGACTGCGGCTGCAGCGATCGTCCTACCTGCAATCCAAAATACTCGAATAAATAAAAAAAAAAAAACAAATTCATAACATCGACTGCTATAAACGATGGTCAAGTGGAAGTTTGAATTGCGTTTCGATCCTATAGATATCGGTCATAATGAGTAAAAGTTCAAATGTACCTGGAACGAGATGAGCTGGGAACTGTGACACATTTTCCAGGGCGTTCTGTTGGTCGACGGGTTTTCTGAGCTGATGGAACGGAGAATACATGGTGATCGGTTTGATATTACGTCTAGTGCAAAAGGTCGGTAAAAAAGATTTTGACAGCAGCGACCACGCGAAAATAAAGGAGTTGCCGGACGCCGTAAAATAGGCTAAGTGAATCTCGATTCTTGAACTTTGCCGTGGTGAAAACTGAAAAGAAAAAAATTTCCGACAATCAGCTGCAGTTTCCAGGTTGGCCACAGAAACAAATGTGGATAGACCTAACACAATAATATTATTTTTACTCTGTGGGATAGACTGGATTACCTCCCTCCGAATAAATAATAATATCAATTATCAATTGTAAATATTTTATAACTGTCTTTTGAATCTTACGATTTTCGAATAACTAGTATAACCCCTCATGGGCTTTTTTATAAAATTTTAATTTTTAAGCTAGTTATGAGTACTTTAAAATCTATAAACAATTTACAATTTTAAAATACTCATAGATCGCTTAAAAATTAAAATTTAATAAAAAGCCCATGAAGTTGTCTAGATAATAATCTTACCTTTAAATTGTATAAGAGGTCAATTCGCTCTAATTTTTAAACTAATGGGAGATAAACTTGTTTTGCTATGTTACGCACTTGTAAGACGGAGACAACAAATGTCACTGTAACGTCCCCTTAAATACTAAATAGTATAATCTAATTCTATTTTATTCTTGACTATTTTTTTTATTTTATTACTAACCTTTTAAAATAATATAATAATTGTATCAACAATTAAATAACTAAAATGTAGTACTATTTAATACTATAAGCATTTCAGTGCTATGCCAATGTTAGAATGTCGGATGTGTGTATAGACACTATTAGTATTATACTATTATACTATATAGGTTTTCGGAATTCTATGGTATAAAACCATATAGTAGCGGTTTCCAACCTTTTTAGCCAGCGGTGCCCTTAAGTTGGTCCAAATCACGGGTTTTTATAGAAATTATATCTATAAAAATTTTTAAATGTAACTAAAAATGTGTATTTATATAGTACCAATTAGTAAAAAAAAAAAATCTATATATTCCAAAAAAATCCAGCCGAGAAATTCAGTATTCCTTTCAATCGGTGAACACACTGTATTTCAAATTATGATCACCACCACCACGACTTAAGATTTATGGTATAACTTAAAACGTGATCACCACAGAACAATGGTATCACAGAAACTCGGAATCAAGTAATCATCTCAATCAATCGGAGTGAACACAAACTAAAGCGGGAAAATTAATTTTTATCACTTGCATGATTGTTTAAATTTAAAAAGACATTTTGATAACGATTCCCTCGATTTCGTATTAGATTGTTCTATGGTATTAGGCATAGAATATAAATTCATGTCATATAATATAAAAGATTAATAATACTACTTAAATTTTACTTAGCATATTTTATATTATTCGTTTAAGATAATTGTTCAGTCTTCTGGGGTATTAACTAATAGGTATATACTACAATTTCGAGAAAAATGTCGGACTCTAACGTCTCAACAAATTACGAGGATGAAGTAAGTTCACATACACCATTTATATTTTAGATTATAAGTAAAGCAAGGGAGACTAGTCACTTCCATTAATATTTTATTTGCCTGCTCTGTAAATTACTTATTTAATATTATTATAAATAAAAATTACTCATAAAATATATTTATTTTTTAACAGTATTTTGTATATACCTAGGTAAATTATTGTTTATTGTAGAGATGTTGCGAACTGTTCGATTTTTGAACCGAACCGAACAGGAAATTCCAAATAATCGAACCAAACCATTTAACTATATACCTAATAGTTCGGTTCGATAATCGAATCAGAGAAATAAAAGTAAAAGTCAGTTCTATAAGGTTTCTATTAGGTATCATTAATCTAAAATCTTAAGTCAATAATTCTGTGGTATGGTGCATTGACGCAACTAGCAGGGTGCAAAAGGGTCTTGGCACCACCAAGTTCTAATTTAGCACCCCTTGTCTGTTTAGGTCTAACTATCATTATTATAGTGAAATACCTACCATAAATGTTATGTTTTTAAAATATGCAATATTATAGCACCCCACGTTTTAAAAGTCTAGTTGTGTCTACTGTATATGGTGGTTAAATGATAAATAAATATCAAATATTAAATGAAATAATATCCAATTTTGACTTTTTTAATGTTCGATTCGAGTTCGATAAAATATTTGAAGAGTTCGGTTCGGTTCGGGCTTGATTAAAAGTGTGTAGGTTAAGATCTGTTTGAGTTTGTTAATTTAGAGGAAAGTTCGGTTCGACCTTAAATATTATTGTTCGTAACATCTCTAATTTGTTTTAAAACTACACAACTTATTGACTTGAAATTGATAGTTAAATTATTAGATTCAGTTGTTCCCACTTCACCTACCACATCATATTATTTATATATTGTGTAATGTTATTATAAATTTAAATACAAAAATAAATACTTGCATTAAAAAAATATTCTTGGATAATTTTATTTAGGTATAGGAATGTAGTATGTAGAAATATGTTAAGTATACTTACAAACAGATTCATCATTGTGTAGTTAAACATAGATATATACATATATATATATAGTATGTCCTTGATGTAAAATCTTAATAGTAAAAATAATTTGTTTTCATACAGAGTCATAGTTTGACCAATGACATTCTTCAATCACAAATTGAATGTCTGGACAATACTACAGTATTAACGGATAACTTTACACTTTTTGATGTGCTGAATAAATTTAAAGATCAAGTAAGAGTTATGGCTGCAAGAGTGAGTCAGTTATATCAATGTATGAACCTTGTTAAAAATCCAACTGATCCATCCACACACCAAGAAGTACTGAAAGTTAAAAAAAACATCATTAATGGCATTACCCATTTATTGAAAGAGACAAAACCTTTAAGTAATTATAACAATATTTTAAATGCTTAAACTTTTAATTTTATATGTACCTACCCTAATATAGTATTTTTTTTAAAGATTATCCTAATTTCCAATCTCTAAGTTCAGTAAAACTTCTAAAAACTTATGAAAAAGTATCTTCAGAATGTAAATTACTCCTGAATAACATCAAACAAGATAATGTTAATATTACTAAACATACTGATCGGTAATTTAATTATTTTATACCTAATATTATATTTTTGTACTTAGTGATTAATTTAATGTTTTTTAAATAAAATTAGGTTCAACAATTTATCAATATTTATGAAAGATTTCCAACAAGAAATAGAAAAAATTGAAGCTCAAAATACTATAAGTATGGAAATGGAAACTGAGGTTTCTCGAGAATTTAAGGAGTGCAAATCTGATATGGTAAATTAATTTTTATCACCATTAACTTAATATTATATCAGATTTTATAATTAATTATTATCGGCTTTCTTGTTGTATGCGCTCTACCCCAGATTGTGGTCTACCTGCGATTACGGGACACTTGTTATATGCGCTCTACTGTGCAATATATATCTTTATTAATGTGGTAATAAAGATTAGGACTCTCTTTTCCTGCATCATATAATTTTTTATCGCATATTTAGTCGTTGATCCTCTAGAAAACGGAGCAAGAAACTATGTAAGACGGCTTGATGGACCATGGGTATTCAGCTATTGTTATCCAAGAAAGAGACAAAATGACTTTGCACTAAATTTTACAAATTTATTGTTGGGTCTACAATATATTCCAATAGCTGGTCAGGGTATAATGGACTCTCGAACCACGGGTACAATCACTAAGTTGTTTTACGTTAATTGCATAGATCCAATATCAAAGGCACATACCCAAAGGATTGAAAGTTTATGGCGGCCTCTGAGGCTAAAAATTGTGAAAAATATGTGTGGTACAACTCCAGATTTTCTTTATTGCTTCAGATTTTCATTACAACCACTTTTATATCATCCCACTTATTACGAGAATATATTATTGTCTAAAATCTAAATATAATTGTAGAGTGGCCAAACACGGTAAAGAGCATACTGCAGTCGCAATGTTGCCGGTAGAGCGCATACAACAAGATAGCCTTATTATCACGGACTAAGATATATTTATTCAGAATCAAGGAAAAAAAAAGCCCCTTACCAAAAAACATTAAACATTGCTCTAATTATTGAAATTATTTATTATTTAGTTTTACATTTAACAACATTTAAAACAAGGTTCCATGTAAGAAGTTAATTCTATAACCAAAAAATGTATAAAATATATAAGCACAGTTTTTTTTTAATAGTTATTTTAATTTTGAATTTGGTCTAAATTATATATTAAAATGAAGTATAACAATTTTAGTTTTGTGCTGTAATTTAAAAATATTATTTAAGGGTACTTGGAACTTTATAATTTTTTTCTTAGGTATATATTATGTCACTCCTGTACATAAAGCTGGTGAACTGTCCAATGTATCAAACTATCGACCAATCTCCATCCAATCACATATCTCCAAAATTTTTGAATCACTAGTCATGCAATGTATTCAACCATCGATCAATAGAATACTTATGGAGGAACAGCATGGCTTTCGCCCTGGTCGTTCCACCATTACCTGTAATTTAGTCTTTAGTAATTATGTATACCGTTCGTTCGCCCAGAAATTACAGGTAGATGCTATTTACACTGATTTCAATAAGGCATTTGATTCAGTTAATCACAAAGCCCTAGTACAGGTCCTGAAAGCATCTGGAATTGGTGAACCTCTCTTGTCTTGGCTTTCGTCTTACCTTTCTTTCCGCTATCAATGGGTTAAACTGTATGGAGTGAGGTCTAACGCTTATCTAGCAACATCTGGTGTTCCACAAGGTGGACACCTTTCTCCGCTCCTTTTCTCTTTATTTATCAATAGTGTGTCAAGTGTTCTATCAAATAGTCGTATTTTGTGTTTTGCAGATGATATTAAACTCTTCTCCAGTGTATCCTCCTTAGATGACTGTATGTTATTACAGATTGATTTTGATCGGTTCACTGAATGGTTCAATACTCTAGGCTTATCCCTTAATGTTTCTAAGTGTAAGACCATGACTTATACTAGAATTCGGACCCCTGTCAAATATGCATATCATCTTGGGCCAACTGCTATCGCATGCTCTAATGGCAGTGTTACTGATCTTGGGTTTATTCTTACTAGTAATCTCGATCCGAGTCCCCACATTGAACATATCTGTTGCAAGGCTTTTAGAACCTTGGGATTTGTATTGAGACTATGTAGAGACTTTCGATTAGGCTTATCCTTTAAGGTTCTTTATTGTACTCTCGTACGCCCTATTTTAGAATATGGTGCCGTTATTTGGAATCCTCACGACAATAATGACTCTGTCAGGCTAGAAAGGGTTCAACGAAAATTCATGAAGTATGCTGGATTTCGTTTGAATATTCCATGTGAACCTCATAACTACGAACCAGTTGCTTCTCAGCTAGGACTGGTTTCCCTGGCTGAGCGTAGGCGGTTGGCGGACATCAAATTTTTAAAAAACTTATTAGATGGAATTATCGACTCTCCTGAATTGCTTTCCTTAGTCTGTTTCCGTGTTCCTCAACGTCCTTCCCGATGTATCGCTCCTTTTTATGTCCCTTTTGCCTCCACAAACTATCTAAAAAATGAACCGATTTCACGTATAATGAGTAATGCCAATGTTGACCCTTCGTGTCTACTTACTTTATAGCTGTTTTGTTTAATTAAATACTTCTAATCTTAAGTTATATAACTATATACAATGTCTATGAATGTAATGTGTAATTGTGTTAAAGGGTTTTATCCCATATATTTAATAATAAAATAAAATAAAATATTAGATTATACGCTAAACAATGAACGTATTGATTTTACAATGAAGTATGTTTTTTTTTTAATTTATAATTTTTTTTTGTACTGTTTCTGTCATCACCTTTTAGAACAGTAAAAATGCTTAGATTTTCTTCAATAGTATCTTTTCTGATAGGAAAGTAAATCTTGTTGGTGCATCAAAATTTAAATTTACCAATACTTTAAATGCTTATTAAAAAAAATTGTGCCTGTATTTTTAATATTTTTCAACTGCTAAATTGACTAGGTCGCAGTGGCGGCTCGTGGTGTTCAAAGTAGGTGGTGTGCAATTATTGCAAAAGTTTATTTTTAAAAAAAATTAATCTGTTTTAAGTATAAATGTAATAAGTTAAATATTTATTAGCATTAATAATAATAATAATAAGTATATTTTATATTTTGTTTATCGCGTGCGACCGCCTGACGAGTGTGCAGCTGTAGCTACACACCTAAGTCACATATAATTTCCGATTCCCCCACTCGACAACCAAACGTATTTTACACGGACAGACGGTGTTCAGACTGAGCTGCACACCAGTTGATGAGTATTTGTTGCATAACTCGATTACATTTTGGGAGTATAATAATGAATATAGTCGTTTGTTTGTATTTAAAATTTAATTTTTTTACATAATAAATACAGTTTAACAGAATATATTGTATTAAAATTTATTTATTATTAGGTATACATTTTTATTATACATTTTCACTATTATATCTAATTAATCTATGTGGTGTGCGCACACCTGCACACCTAGGCACGAGCCGCCACTGCTAGGTCGGGTAAGTAATGTGGTACGTGCCAAACACCTTTCATGAATGTTTTCAAATGTTAATCATAAAACCATGGATGCATTTTTTCCAAATTATACCACTATTTAATGGGATTTAAGTATTATATACTATATACATTATACAAATGTATATTTTAACGTACATTGTTATAACCAAGGTGGATTAGATAATACAAAATATTCTATAAATATATATGGATATATAAAGTCACACAATAAAATAAAATTTATATTTTATAATTTTTTTTCAAGATTTTATTTTGGGGCTTTTTTTCTGAATATCATTTATTCTATATATATTCTGTGATAATATACAGAAGGTTTTCTTGTCAAAGTTTCTAACACAAAATATTTCTGTCTAATGAACTCAGCTTGAACTGGGATATTCAAGAGGAGCTGGAAACACTGAATACAAATTTTTTACAATATGCAAATGTTTATGCATAGTGCAACTTATTTTGATCATTTAACCATGACTCTAAAACCAAAATTCACCAAATTATGACTTAAAGATTGATTAAAATAACTCAAAATCGCTTCAAAATTTAGTTAATTACAAGATCACGAAAAATTCAATAGTTTAAATGAAAATTTAATTGTCACTCAGTAAATGTTGGTTTAAATGTTTAGAGGCATGGTTAAAAGATGAAAATTACTTTAAAAAAAAATAGGTTTACCTGAAACCTTAAAATATTATAATAAAACTTCTGCCTGACTAACAATATTTATTTTTATTTTTAGTATTCATTGTTATCACAAGTGGATCCTTCATCTACATTGAAAGAAGTTTTAAGTGTAAGTTTATAAAAGATTAAACATACCTAATTTTACATTGATACTAAATATTACCATAATACCATGTATATTTACGATAATAAATAATAATAAATATTCATTGATATGTTTAAAGTTACTAGTGGAGTGTAATGATGAAGATGAAGAAGATTGCTGGGTGGACCTTACAAATATGCCTCATTTAGTCTTGCAATGTCATAATCTAAAAAAACAGGGATTTGTCTTACAAAATGAACAAAAAAAATTTCTTTTTAAATTAAATATTTAAAAAATAATTGCAGTTTAATTAACTGCAATAAACATTTTGTTAATGTGTTAAAAAGTTAAATATTTTATTTTTTATCAAAATGAAATAGTAAGTTAAACCCTCTTGACTATGTTATTTAATATAATTTGATACAATTGTACTTGTGTAAAAGTTTCTTATTATCATATTTTAGTATTTTACCATACATACCTCTGCCAATATAAACTTGTAATTAAAGAAAGGTTAGCATTTTTTTTTTTTTTTATTATTAATGTAAATAAAAAAATAATAATCCGTGTAAACTAATTTACTTTTATTTATTTACTTCTAAGAATATTTTAAATATAATAAATTAATATAATATATTATATTCCAGAAATGTTTTAATTTTAGTGCATATACTGCATACGAATGGCGGACATTTCCCCCCCGGCTGTTTTCGGCGTAGTAGGATATTTTCCCCCAATACATTTTTGATGCGGACATTTTCCCCACGTTTTTTTTTTTTATTTTTAATTATTTACCTTCGAATATAAAATTATTATTTTTAACACATATTTTTTGGCTTTTCTTCATATTTATTTTTTTATTTTTGTAAAAACTTTTCTTTAACTAAAAAATCTTTAATCTTAATTTCAATAAAAAAATAATAAACAATATTTAAAACAAGTTAAGTAAAAATATAGTTTTAAATAAAAGTAAAATAGTATAGTATACTAATATTGAATTGGATGGGTAACATTGAAATCTAAAATTGTGTCCATAACCCAGTCAATTACTAAGACTATTAACATAACTTTCTTATAAAATCTTACATCGTTATGAGCATTGAGTCAATATTTTATATCAAAACTGTTCAAAGCAGTTTAGTAGTGGTTATAGTGGTTATATACGTTTTAAAATAAAAATTCTTGTTTTAAACTTTTTTTGTGGTCATGGATAAAATACAAATTCTTAAAATAGACAGAAGAGGTTTAAAAGTTGTTTTTAAAGACTATATGTATACAAAACAAAAAAATGGGTGTGTGGAAAAAAAAAAGAAAAATTGTGAAGGTAGTGTAACAACTCCTCCCAGTCTTTTCGCAATAGAAACGTCAAATTTATCAAATAAATTCATTACATTTTGTTTATACAATCTTTTTTAATTTTTATGTCGGATTTTTTGGCCAACTGTGTTGTACTATATTATATTATTTAGACAATCTTTTATTTAAAATTATATTTTTACTTAACTTGTTTTAAATAATATTTATTATTTTTTTATTGAATTAAGATTAAAGACTAATAATAATTTTATATTCGAAGATAAATAATTAAAAATAAAAAACAAAAAAAAACTGGGGTAAATGGCCTCATCAAAAATGTATAAGGGGGGAAAATGTCGTACTATGCCGAAAACAGCCGGGGGAAAATTTCCGGATACCACCATATACATATGTACCAATCTTTATTTTATAGACAAAATATACACAATAATAAATAGAAATTATTTTAAATGTTGTATTTGTTTAATTTTTTGAATTCAATGATAATGTATTATGTATAATTATTATATTATATACTTTAAGATTCTGTGTGGGATGTTTTTTTTCTCTGTCATCACCTTGTGGAGCATTAAAAATGCTTGAATGTTCACCTTTTTTATCTTTTCTGGAAGGAAAGTGAATGTATTTGGTACTTATTGGGCTTAATTTACATTTGAGAGTAGAGGTAAGGTTGTTGTAATAATGATTTTGTCTGAGGAGAGTTCAGTGTGTGTTGCCAACAAATTCTTGAGCGGCATTTTTGTGTTTGCAGACGTGAGTAGGGATTGAAAACGAGTTTGAACAGGATCTTTAAGTTATGAGAGACAAATTCATTTGATGCTGCTGATTGAATATTTTTGAGAAATTTTGATCAGCATCTTCAATATTATTTGAGAAGTTTAAACAGGTATTTAAGTTTATTTTTTGGTCAATGGTTTCGACATTTAATTAGTTCATAAAGCTATTTATTAGACTGGTTTTATTAGAACACTATAGATAGTTATATGTAGAGGCGTAGAGCCTTAGTTTAACTAGCTTGGGAAGATGGTAATGTATACAGTGATAGGACTGGGGATTCGCCCGAATATGGGTCTCAGGGTCTGCCACATTTTTAATTTAATGTTTAATTTGGTTGGGATTTTTGTAACAAATTTACCTACCTATCTAAAATGTCTGAACTTATCTTATTGGAGTTGGCTTGCAGTAAGTTGAGTAGTAGGGGTTCGTATAGAAAATTATTTTGTTTTAATAGTTTGGAGTAAGCCTTGTCCATTTAGGTTTAAGGAGTGGCAACTGGCATCCCCATATTTTAACTGTTTAAGTACGCCACCACACAATTAAGTAGTGATCAAGAGAGTTATACATTTTAATGTTGTGGTGGTGTAATGTTATTCTTAGAATTAAGAAGGACAGTAAGTAGCTGCAATAGTAGTTGGTACATGATTTAGATTTGTATATTAATATTTATTATTTCTGCTTGGAGGTAATTTTTGTTTATTTTAGGATGGCACAGTAGGTATATAATACTAGTAGGCAGTAGCCTACTTCTAGTGGGTACATTATTATGATATGTTAAACTTACCAGTGTTTGGCAAGTTCCTTGTAAAAATGAATTTGTTCCATTTATTTTTTAAAAAAAGGATTTCGTTCTGTTCCTTGTTCCTTAAAAATGAGTTCGTTCCTTTGGAAATTGAACGAGTTCTTATTTAGTTCCAAATAAAATAAAAATTCTTATTTAATCATTAATGTTTTTTTTTTTTTCATATGCATAGTTCTTTAATTTTTAATTATAATATATTAATATATACCTATAAGCAATATTTTATAATACTATTTTGAGATTTTCTTCAAAATTAAACTGTTGGCCAATGTATGTCGACTGTCTTATGCTTATCGTCTATTGTTATAAATAATTATATTAAATATAGGTACTCAATTCTATATAAATTATAACTTATAACTATAAGAAATATTAAGAGGACGCAACACCCGCATGTGTTGTCTCCGTCTAACAAACGCGTAACATTTCAAATTTTGTAAGACGGAGACAACACATGGTATATATATTACATCTGCATAATAATTTATAGTAGAATATTTCGTATATGTTTTCCGGGTTAAGTTTGTGTAAAGTGTGTAGATTTTACCAGATATAAAATAATAGAAACTGCTTTGCCTGTTTGAATATAGCAGCCCTTCATTTACATACGAAGAAGTAGTGCTCGAATTGGGAAAAATTAAGTAAAGAAGCTCAAACCATCGTAGCAAAGATTTAAAAACTGCGTTCTAAGGGCGCAATTATTCAACACAGACCCTTGGGGGCTTTACCCCCCCTCACGTTCCTACCTTACATACATTTTGAATACCTACCACTTTTCAGCAAGACATTTTTCCAAATAGGTATAATATATTTTGATAGCAATATCTACATCGACTACATCTCACATTGTTACAGTAGAAAAAAAAATGTATACTAATATACCTGTTCATTCAATATTTGATATGAAAAATAGTAGAACTCGTTATATAGCTTACATCAACTGAAATCCCCATTTTAATAAAATTTATTTGAGCATTAGTTTGTACCGTCCCCCCCCCCCGTCCAAATAAAACAAAATAGTAGGGGTACGCAAAAATAATAGGGGATCTCCGCCCCCCTGCACTCCCCAATTCTTGCACTGTGAAGAAAGGCTATATTTTGTCGGAACTGTATTTTGCCTGAAAGTAGTTTGTCTGTTTAATACTTAAAAGGACATCACAAAACTAAAAAAAAGTGGGCTATTGGATGTCACTCTGCTGTACAGTAGGGTACAAGTGAGTGGTGGATCACTGTATAATGGATGGTATGTTAATTCAATGATATCGTTGTATACGAAAATCGAATTTTGAGCGGATTCGGTTTGTCAGTGTGAATATTTTATATTATATTTATATTGTTATTACGTATAATAGGTAGTAGGTACTTATTATTAATACGGTATCCAGTGGGTTGAACTAATATTATAAAAATACCTAGGTACAACAAAATAACTAAAATCGCTACTATTCTTGGTTATTTAAATCCCACCAAAAACACATATGTAAAATGAGAGCCAAGTTCAATACTATAATATATGCCTTGGTTGTTGACTTCAACGACAAAAGAAGTGAGATCTAAACGGGTGCCAAGTTAGGATAATATATTGAAGCCTAAGGTAAGTACCTACTAAAACAGTAATGGATGAGTGAAGATGATTTTCCGAAGAATAAAATAAGAACTCAAAGCTTTAGAACTTGCAAATGCTATAATATATAATTCGTAGCCAAGTCAGACCTTAGGCTTCAATATATTATCCTAACTTGGCACCCGTTTAGATCTCACTTCTTTTGTCGTTGAAGTCAACAACCAAGGCATATATTATAGTATTGAACTTGGCTCTCATTTTACATATATGTTTTTGGTGGGATATCATTACTTTTTGTATGTAAATTATTATAACCTAACCTAACCTAGCCATTACGTATTCTATAAATAAAGTTTATTACTATATAATATAATTCAGTTACTAATATTAATAATAGTATTTATTATAAAATATTTTCCGTTGTATATACAGAGTATAAAATATATGTAAAATTAATATACAATTATTTTAACTCTTTTTGAGTATATTTTTAATTATCATAATTTTATTGACTGTAGTTTCTACTGTTGGGTGGATAATTCATAATTTGTAAGAATAATTATTTAATTATTTTAATTGTAATATTTAAAAAAAAAAATATTAATTACATACATAGATAGAAAAAAAAAGTATGTCGCTGCGCGCGGGTCGACAATATCGACACATATTCGGCTAGTCGTATTTTTGGAGCGGCGATACGGGAAAGGTTATTTAAGTCATTAGTCAACATTACATATACATTACATTACATTAAATTAGAGGCAATTCATTAATAAATTGAAAAATTAAACATAATAGATAAAATAATTGCAAAATTATAATAAAATCAATT